GGGCCTGTTCGAACCTTCGTTTTTGTCTTTAACAGATCGCGGAGCAAGTGGTAAGAGGCAGCTGCTAAACTCTGAGTGTTTTCTTCGCGCTATTCAAGCAAAGCTTACCAGAGTATTCTCTGTGGAAATACATAGTATCAAAATGTTTATCAGTGGGCCGATATGTTAGGAAAATTAACGGGATTTCCCTACCTGAGTTTTTATAAAATTGCTATCCGTCTTGCTCTCTCGCTCCCCTATTACGCATTGCATTTCGCGCATCAATATTTATTCCAGTACAGACTGACTTCGGATTTCAGACAGCTTAGATTTCACGCTGCATAAGGAATTAATACTGAATAACGTTTATTGACTATTTATTCTTTATGAACCAACCTCAAAACACAAAATCTTTAAGATAGGCTTTATTTTTCATCTATACAACGTAAACAGCCGAAACGTTTCAACCCATTTTACCGTCCGCAGATAGAACTGTCCAACCACGGTCATTATGAACCACGTTCCAACTGAATCTAATCACATTCACAGGATGAAAAGAGTTTGTGCACTCTAGAAATCGATTATCATATCAAAAATATGAAGTTCATGGTAAATCATTTCAGATCCTCAATTTTGATTTTGTATAAATACCGGAATGAAAACCAAAACCAAGTTGATCTCTATCGACGGCATTTCGCCGTTTCCTATGGTGGGACATTGATTGTCTGTAGCTCTGTGAAGGGATGTTCTGTAGACCCAACACATACTGCGGATACCTTTTGCATACAGTGTCGTTCTTGACTTCCACGTGTATTTGGATTACGATCATGCATCGTGAACCTGAGTGGTTATGTAATCAAGACAGAATTCAATTGTTTGATGTACACTGATGACTATTAATGCGGTTTTCTTTTGCGCAATCCTCAATCCAATGTCTACGCGTTAGAACCCGCTCATTTAGCGCTAAATACGCATAAATCCTCACGCGGTACTTTTCTGTTTCACTGTTTTCGCTGATTGCAGTTTCGCAGCCTTCATCCGCCTCCCCGATTGCGTCCACGAGCACAATTACAAAATATCATCTTGCATTTCTTTCGACTGTACTGTTTCGTTTCAGTCAATGATCAGTGGGAATCGATGCGAGCCAAACTACGGGCTGATGTGAATCACTATAAACAATCATACGAACTACTCCAAGAAGAATTCGATCGATTCCGGGCTCAAAATGATCCCGTTACCATACAAGAACAGGTAATGTGAACAGTTAATGATATATTACCATAAGAAATGAGTGTGCCGAATGAAGGTATAAGACTGATTAGAAATAGGATAAGCAGAATATAACATCCTTTCCGGTCAAAACTCATGCATACCTCTTATCAGCCAATCAATCATAAATTATTGTGCTACCGAACACTGCGTGGAACTGAAAAATGTCCAGTATCGTTTTCCATAGTGTGTGTGGTTCCTAAAGCCTTCCCTAAATCTTTATCATTGAAGACTGTTTTTCTATGACGCGTTGATGATGTCTGATAAAAAAACCTTGAGAACTGCTTGTACAGTGCAGGATACGAGCATTGAGGTAGATTGGTATTCATCGGTGAGCCTTTAGAGGCCATGAGATACATGTAAGTTCTTCTTGTTGCTGTCTTCTTCGATGGATTCGATCGAGCCATTCAGTTTTAACAATTGGCTTTTGATTGTCTAATAGGTAAAATGTGATTTCCCCAAGGTAAACAGGATTTAGAGAATTTGACAAAAGTTGTAGTGGTACGGATAGGATATTGAAAAATAGGCCTTTTGACTTGTAGAGCACTATGACTCAATAACCATATAATTAAACAGCGTGTTGAACTAGGCCTGCTGTCGGAGTTTGTCTTCAAAGTGAGTGTGGTTTAGGGAGTTGACTTCAACGAAAATCCCCAGTTCTAAGACAGTAACTCCTCACTTCCCATAGTCAGCTGATCAATTGGGTCAATCAAAGAAACAAATCAATGAAAGGTGGAATTCTTAAGTCAACATGAGCAAGTGTGTGTGTGCGCGTGTGTTTGGTTTCGAACTGTTGTTCTCGTGATGAATAGTTTATACAAAAGAAAAAGTGTTGCAAATTATAAGTATTTATCCTCCCTTTGTATACACGTGTGTACGTCACATCCAAACAACAAATGGTCTGCTTTATTTGCATATACCATCAAAGGAATGCCAACAGTGATGCAGGTTGTGACGAATACAACTGAAACTACAATCAAAATAAAAGAAACCTAACTGTATGCGGTAGATATACATAAATGCAGTTATCTAATAAACAAAACTACATGGATAAAGAAAGAAGTAAGAAAAATAAGTACAATTATTGTATTCATTAGTATTATCGACAGCAAACTTACCTACTTACTTTTCACTTACTTTTGATCGAATAACTCCTGCGAGAGGATAAGTCGGCTTCCTGGATGTCTCTAATGATGGCGGCCCATGCATAACGATCGGTAGCAACGTTGGTTGAAGACCCAGTAATTCCAAATCCGCCTTAATCGTACTACTCCAGGTCTTCAGTTGACCATCGAGTCAGCAAAGTCATCCACGGCACGGTGCGGGGGCTACAGCCTGTCGCGAGAGTTGAGTGTCGGGCCTTCGGAGAATGTGATCAAACCAATGAAGGCGCCGGCGTTGTAGCAATTTTGAAAGCTGGTCGCTGTTTAAGCTGCGCCGTAGAACCTCATCATTGGAAATCCGATCTCTCCAGTTTACTTTCAAGATGCGGCGTAAGCGCCAATGATCAAAGACTTCGAGCTTCCTTGTATCTTGTACTCTTAGCGGCCAGGTTTCACAACCATTAGTGAGGATGGGGCGGATGGAAGCCTGATAAACCCGAAGCTTAGTGTGTAAGCTTATTTCGCATCAATTCCACAACGGTTTGAGGAGTTGTAGGAAGGCTCTTCTAGTTCCATCTACACGGAGTTGGATTTCATCCTTAGCCTGGCCGTTTGACCTTATCGTAGAGCTAAGATACTTGAAAACTTCGGTTGATTCGACAAACTCCCCGGTAATCGAGAGGGGTTGTGTGGTAGAAGTTTCGGTCGAAAATGTCTTCGTTTTTGACTTGTTGATCTTTAGCCCAATGGACTGGGCAAACTGATTTATACGACTGACAACAGGCTGGAGGTTGTCTATGCTGTCTCCAAGTACAACGACATCCGCAAACTCGAGATCAGCAATACATGTACCTGGGCCAAGCTGCACTCCGAGGTAGTCGACGAGTGCTTGTCGCATTATTCAATCTATGGTGTAATTGAATAACACCGGCCATAGGGAATAACCTTGCCTGACTCCAGAGCTTAGGGTAAATTCAGCTGATTCTTCTCGATAGATACGGACGCGTGTCAAGGTTCCTAAGTAGTATGACTTCGAAAGCCTGGTGGACTTTCGATAGAAATTCCTTATGGTGCATATTGATGTCCGATGGGAAGTTCATCAGGCTTTTAATTAAGAAGCTATCCAAATATCAGTCAAAACAACGGCGGATTCTGGCGCACGATCCAAGCAAAATTTTGGATCTACCCGACCTTGGTCGCCCTGCTGGACGCTCGGAATGCCAGTCCTTCTGATGCAAAATACGACAAAGCGCACAAATCTCTTAAGCAACAGCTCATCAAAAGTCTGAGGAATGACCGCAATAAGTGGGGGGGGGTAGGGAAGTTTAGGGAAAAGGTTGCGGCTATCGATAATAGTTGCAATCTTTTTCGCTACATCACGCGTATGGGTCCAACGAAAGTAGGCATAAGCGAGGTAATTAAGGAGCCTGATGCTACACCAATTCATCATCAGTAACGCCGTCTAGATTGATGATCAGAACATGTTAAGGCGCAGTTCACCTATCTCTCGTCGACATAAAACCTCATTATATCTGCTTCAACCGGGCAAATACTGCCAGTTGACATCAGTCCTCCATTTGAAATTGAGGTTTCCCGGGGAATAGGTTATCTCAAAAGTCATAGGGCCTCCGGCCTAGATGGGTTGTTCCCATCGGCGTTTAAGAACGGAGATTGAGGGTTAGTCTTGGTGTTGACGCTACTCCTGGGCCAAGTATGGGAGAGGGAACTGGT